TACATACATTCATTCTTCATTGATTGATTGACTGATTGATTCATTCATTCATTCATACATTCATTCATTCATTCATACATACATACATTCATACATACATTCATTCTTCATTGATTGATTGTTTCATTCATTCATACACTGATTCATTCATTCATTCATACATTCATACATAGATTCATTCTTCATTGATTGATTGATTGATTCATACATTCATACATACATTCATTCTTCATTGATTGATTGACTGATTGATTCATTCATTCATTCATACATTCATTCATTCATTCATACATACATACATTCATACATACATTCATTCTTCATTGATTGTTTCATTCATTCATACACTGATTCATTCATTCATTCATACATTCATACATAGATTCATTCTTCATTGATTGATTGATTGATTCATTTATTCATTCATTCATGCATTCATGCATTCATTCATTCATACATACATACATTCTTCATTGATTGATTGATTGATTGATTCATGCATTCATTCATTCTTCATTGATTCATTCATTCATACATTCATTCATACATACATTCTTCCTTCATTGATTCATTCATTCATTCATTCATACATACATACATTGATTGATTGATTGATTGATTCATACATACATACATACATACATACATTCTTCATTGATTGATTGACTGATTGATTCATTTATTCATTCATTCATGCATTCATTCATTCATACATACATACATTCATACATACATTCATTCTTCATTGATTGTTTCATTCATTCATACACTGATTCATTCATTCATTCATACATTCATTCATTCTTCATTGATTGATTGACTGATTGATTGATTCATTCATTCATTCATACATTGATTGGTTGATTCATTCATACATTCATACATACATTCATTCTTCATTGATTGATTGACTGATTGATTCATTCATTCATTCATACATTCATTCATTCATTCATACATACATACATTCATACATACATTCATTCTTCATTGATTGATTGTTTCATTCATTCATACACTGATTCATTCATTCATTCATACATTCATACATAGATTCATTCTTCATTGATTGATTGATTCATTTATTCATTCATTCATGCATTCATGCATTCATTCATTCATACATACATACATTCTTCATTGATTGATTGATTGATTGATTCATGCATTCATTCATTCTTCATTGATTCATTCATTCATACATTCATTCATACATACATTCTTCCTTCATTGATTCATTCATTCATTCATTCATACATACATACATTGATTGATTGATTGATTGATTCATACATACATACATACATACATACATTCTTCATTGATTGATTGACTGATTGATTCATTTATTCATTCATTCATGCATTCATTCTTCATTGATTGATTGATTGATTGATTCATTTATTCATGCATTCATGCATTCATACATACATACATTCTTCATTGATTGATTCATGCATTCATTCATTCATTCTTCATTGATTCATTCATTCATACATACATACATTCTTCCTTCATTGATTGATTGATTCATTCATTCATTCATACATACATACATTGATTGATTGATTCATTCATTCATTCATTCATTCATACATACATTCATACATACATACATTCTTCATTGATTGATTGACTGATTGATTGATTCATTTATTCATTCATTCATGCATTCATTCATACATACATACATACATTCTTCATTGATTGATTGATTGATTCATTCATTCATTCATTCATTCATTCTTCATTCATTCATTCATTCATACATACATACATTCTTCCTTCATTGATTGATTGATTGATTGATTCATTCATTCATACATACATTGATTGATTGATTGATTGATTGATTGATTCATTCATTCATTCATTCATTCATTCATACATACATTGATTGATTGATTCATTCATTCATACATACATACATACATTCTTCATTGATTGATTGATTGATTCATTCATTCATTCATTCATTCTTCATTGATTCATTCATTCATACATACATACATTCTTCCTTCATTGATTGATTGATTGATTCATTCATTCATACATACATAGATTGATTGATTGATTGATTCATACATACATACATACATACATTCTTCATTGACTGATTGATTCATTCATTCATTCATTCTTCACTGATTCATTCATTCATACATACATACATTCTTCCTTCATTGATGATTGATTGACTGATTCATTCATACATACATTCATTCTTCATTGACTTGATTGACTGATTGATTTTTAAGCACTCTCCTCTGCCAAGGGGCACAGGGGAGGTCATGTAGGTTGAAAAACATCAAAGATCAAAGAATAAACCCATAAGAGCCTTTTGCACCCAGGACTGCCACCCACGCAGACCCCTCAGCAGCTGCAGAGGAAAGCTTAGCTGAATACATGGTGGGGAAAAAAAGGCCTCAAGGCCAGGAAGGTCAGGGCTATCCAGAGCAGAAGAAGTGGTCCTTGTCTGTGGCCACCAGCATCTGGAGGGAGGGGGAGGGGAAAGGAGACAGAGAAGAGAGGAGGAGGAGAAAAAAAGAGAAGGAGAAGGGAGGAGGAGGGGAAGGGGACAGAAGGCAGGAGGAGGAGAGAGAAAGAAGAAGGAGGAGAAGAAAGAGAGGAGAGAGAGGGAGGAGGAGGAAGCGGAAGAAGAGAAGGAAGAGGAGGAGGAGAAAGAGAAGAAGGAAGAGATGGGAGGGAGAGGGATTGGAGAGGGAGAGAAAGAAGGAAAGGCAGGGAGAGGGGGAAAGAGGAAGACGAGGAGGAGGAGGAGGAGGAGGAGGAGGAGGAGGAGGAGGAGGAGGAGAAAGAAAGAAAGAAGGAGAAGGGGGGAGGGAGTGGAGAAGGAGGGAAAGGCAGAGGGGGAGAGAGAAGGACGAAGAAGAGTAAGAGGCGGAGGAGATGGAGGAAGAAGAGGAGAAGGAAGAGTGGGGAGAGAGAGGGAGTGGAGAGGGAGAAGGAAGAGGAGGAGAGAGGGAGAGGGAGAGAAAGGGAGCAGAGGGCAAGAGAGGGGAGAGGGGGCATCAAAACTACGTCACAACTCCTCGCAATCACAACCGTCTTCCACATAGCCGCAATGTTGGGGGGGGCAAGAGGTCTCAATCTGGCCGTCGGCCAGGAGAAAACGGGTTCTCCCCAATAGGAAGCCACTTTCCCCATCAACCCTTTCCCTTCCACTCATCTTTCCCTGTCTTTCTTTCTTTCTTTCTTTCTTTCTTTCTTTCTTTCTTTCTTTCTTTCTTTCTTTCTTTCTTTCTTTCTTTTTCTTTCTTTCTTTCTTTCTTTCTTTCTATCTTTTTCTGTCTGTCTGTCTGTCTTTCTCTCTCTCTCTCTCTCTCTCTCTCTCTCTCTCTCTCTCTCTCTCTCTCTCTCTCTCTCT